CTCTTTTCTCTCCCACCATCTGGCAGCTCACCCCCGGCTAACGTAGGATGCAGGCTCTGGGTGGCCACAGCACCCCATGCAGCATGCCCTGCCAGATGTAGGGATCGCACGGAGGCGGGAGAGCATGGAAAAGGCGTATCCAGAGCTGTACTGGAAAAATCAGAGAGCTGATAACTGGAGAAGGAACGTCAAGGCTCAGGACAATTGTTGCCAAGGTTCAGTTGTCAGTTTGACAGTGCAACAAATCGATGGTTTAGGCTGTGAAGATTTTGGGCCAAAATTCACCTGTGATCAGCTGGTTCATACAATGTCTTTAAACAGAGCCAGACTCAATACAAAAATCTGCAGTTCAAGATGTAAAAGTTTTTCACTTGAAGGTCAATGTCTTTTTAGTCTGGTTACTTCTAAATTGGATAGAAAGTGTCTGTCCAACTACAAGTTCTCAGCAGGACATCCAGATTGTCCTTGAAAGGTCACATAAAATTATTTGTATTCTACATAATTAACTTCCTTGAGGTTCTGCTTGTTGATATATTGCTACCAGCAGAGTACACAGCATTACAAAAGAGAACAAGATTTTGTACCTCAAATGTCTTGACTTCAAAGCATTTAAACTTTATAAACAAAGAGACATCGCCTCAGCCTAGCACCAAAGAAAGCAATTTATGTAAACAGAAAGTCTGGAACAAATAATTAAAACATGCGACTAAACAAAAACATTTGTGAGTTTGTTGAAACAATTTCAAAATATAAACTCATTTTTTCTGTGTATGTTTATTTGCACTTTACCTAAAGGTGCCCTCTGCGTGTGTTATTTCTCACTTGTGTTGCATTTAGAAGTACATCAGCGGTAGCCACCGTGGAGCTCGCTCTGCAGGCTCTTTTCCCGGCGTGCCCGTGCCTCACCCCAGAGGCAGCCTGGATGTGCCAAGCTCTCTCCCAGTCTGCAAACTTGTGTTCTCAACATCCAGGTGAAAACCTGCAGTAGCACACCCGCCATCCCTCAGCTCCTCTCAAAACCACAGCTCCGTAGTGAGTACCTCTCTTTCTCTTCTGTGATCTATTAGAGTCATGCAGGATTTCTAATCAAGTAGTCCCCCCAAAAACTGTTTCAGACAATATACTCCATTTTAACCTCTTCTTTCACACCTCAGTAAGCCACAGATCATGGCAACGTGTGGTGGCGGTTGGGAAAGACTTACTTTACTAACCTGTCTTCCCATCCCGCAGGAGCTGAAGCAGCCCCTCAAGGGATGGCAGGGTTTAGACCCAGCAAGATGCAACTGCAGCTTCTGGTACTTCAGGAGAAGTAACTGCAGCTCATCTCATTTCAGTGTAGCTGAAGGGGAGCTACAGGACAGTTTGTTACCAACGCTACTGTAATTCTACCTGCCTCTCACCTCAACTTAGCGGTGCTTTGTGATCTCTAGCTCCTTCGCTGTGGTTATTAAGGAAAAGGCGCCACTGCAGCCGTCAGCGCTGGCGTCACGGCGGCGGCCGAGCACGCGATGGGCGATCGCCTGGTGCCATCTCGTGGGCAGCGGGACAACAGCGAGCGAGCCTCCTCCCTCTGCCCGACGCCAGGCTGGAGGAGCGGAGGGCCTCCGTGGGAGTTCATCCGAAAGGACAGGGAGACACGGGAAGACGGAGGGAGGGATCGTTAACATCTGTGACCTGCCAAGGACAGCTATGGGCAGCAAGTTATAAATTGCTTGAATTGCTACGGAAGTGCTCAACCCACGGCGCAGTTTGTGACCAGTGACGGTAGCCAAGGATCAAACCGAACTGGACAATTACAATCTCACAACTGGGGGAAAAAATAATTTCCACACTGATCATGTGGCGGGGAGATCTGTTTCTTACAACAGAAAAGTGAAGATTTGATCTCATCCTCTGCTACACCGAAAGCAGGGACTCCCCCGCACGCCAGGACACCTCAGCCAAGCGCCAGCTTTGCAGCTCTGCCCCAGAGCGGCTGGGCCAGAAGCAGCACCGAAGTAACAGATCACCCCGCAGGGGATGGAAAAATCACACTGTACTTCAACTTGTATGGCAGCCATTTTTCACATTTTTAATATATACATGAATAACTTTAGTTACTCTGGGATCACTCAGCTGCTTTAAAATGAACCATGTTCTGAATTGCTGTAAGATCAATGCTTTTTACCAGCAGAAGACAAGGAAAAAATTATTTTAAAATAATTTTGGGCAGTTTCCTATCTTACAGCTGAAGTGGATTAACTTTAGAAGTCCAAGTCCTTTTCTGTACGTGACAGAGCTGTGAGGCAGAGTTTATTGTTGCCATAACGAGTGTCATTTTGCTATGAAGGGGTAGAAAATCCTGGAGTAAGGAAGTCACAAACGAGTGGTGGCACTGCCTAACTCTTCCTGTTCTAGCCCATGATTTTGAAGCTGACAAAACCATCAAGCAAGGCTGCAAAAGGAGAAGCCTCTTCTCCTAGTAGCTGTCTGTGACACATGAGGGCTAATAGGAGAGAGACGGGCACTTAGGATCCTGTAGAAAATTAGATCCTGGCAAAGAATTACTAGCAAAGGCTGATTTCTGCGTACTTACCCATGAACTGCAGTCCTGACTGAGTTCCATACGGAAGTGGACAAGCTGCCCAAGACCAACAGCCACAGGACCACAGAGGGCTAGGGCCATCCATCCAGTGTGCCGAGGTCCTGCAACCCTTGCTGTGGCGTCCTGTGGTGCCACAGTCACCTCTTAAAATTAGCTCAGGTATACTTAGTACAAGCTGTAGTCGTGTGTTTTCAGTATAGAAACACTCTTGCAATGCTGCAGAGTGCAAGACTTACATGGGAATAGAGCTCTGTGCCTCTTCTTTTTAAATAAAGGGAACAAGGGGGAAGGAAAAAAAAGAAAAAACAGGAAGAACAGAACCCCAGAAAAATCCATTTTTAGGAAGATATTTTATAGAAGAAAACTTTAAGAGATTGACCTGTTTAGTTTGTCAAAACATTAAGACTCACATTACACTGCTCTAAGCACCCAGGCAGCAAAGACTTTCTTCTGGCAGAGAAAAGCATGCAGAGGACTGGCATCTGGAAACCAAAGCCAGCCCCGTCGAGACACTGTTACTAATCACAGCAATTCTGCAGGTCTCAATATTTATTTTCTAGACAAGACTGTGAGCCTTGATGGAAAATTTTGGCATTTACATTTCAGAAGTTAGGGCATAAATGTGTCTATAAAAGCCACAGCCATATACAATACATCATTATAACATGCATAATACTATTACTTATTTAAGGCTTAACACAGTTCTGGTTTGTGGCAAAGCATCTTCCATGGGGCTTTCCAGTCTACAAATACCGCTGATACACAGGAAGATGCTAAACTCTTAAGCTCATTCCTGATCGCACAGCAAGGAAGCAGCTTTTCCTCAATTGTCCAACAAAAAGCTGGAACTACCAACTTTTCAAAAAGGAATTCAGAAATTTAAAAAAAACACCCAGTAAATTTACACTTTCCCTATTATCTCTGCAAATTGATGGAATAAATCAGACTCTTAAGAGAACAGTCTCAAAACCTGAACCACTATCCATACACCAGGTATTTTAGATTCACGAGCGAGAGGCAAAGCATGGCACCATTACCCCGTCTCTTGCTGGCCGTATCTCTGAACGACAGCATGGCTTCTGAATACCGCTAGATCAGACCCATCGCAAAGTGGACAGCATAGAACAGTCCGAGTAAACACAACAGGTTTCAGCTCCTCACACTCCTGATTTCAAGTAAGTGTGAAAAGTCATATTTAAGAAAGGAACAGGTTTTTTTGTGGTAGAACTGTATTTAATTATTTTTCAGGTACAAATTAAGAGAACACCAAAAAAAAAAAATCATTATTCTATCAAACTGAAATAAGCCAAACCAGCACAACTGAGTATTTCAAAAATACTACAAAGGAAGATGAAACAGCTATAGTGGAAAGAATAAAAAGCTTTTCAATTCCATTTTCTGCAAAATTACACTCTGAATGCTACCTCGTACACACAAGAATGCAGCCCTCGGTGGAAAAAAAAAAAAAATAATCCAGTGCAAAATAGTTTTTAACCCACATATTATCAGAATGCAATGGAAGTAAATTCACATTTGAAGAGAGCCATCACATTTTATTTTTCTCTTCAGTAACAAGATTATTGCACAAAAATAGTCAAGTCCTTTTTCCCCACAAGCATTAATACTTTACAGCTTTAGTGATTCTAAAAGTGATGTTGTGCAGTTCCAATGTTTGTTACTGCTCAAGCACTCCACATACCCGTTTATACAAACGAAATGTGTTTATCTGACCAGCTGAATTGTTTCCTTCTCATGCATCAACCCCAACAATAATGATTTTGCAGCACCAACTAGTCCTTGTGATTTCAAGGTGACCAATTTCGACTTCTGATGATGATGCATGAGAAGAAATCATAATCCAAGTAATACCCAAGGTGGGCTGACTTCACAGGACCAACAGGACAAAAAAGCAATGAAACCTGTTTCTCACTCAAGCAAGCTCACTATACACTGATTATATTCTCAAAGTGCAAAAATAGGCTATCTATTGAGAACTGTGCTTTACTCCTCACAGAACCGGATCTCAGAGCAGAACTGCACTTCAAGTAAGTTCACAGTTGCGTAATAAAAAATTCCTATGATCTTTGGCTAATTTGTGGTCTTACTGCCCAGGTAGAGCTCTAGTAGTAGGCTAACTCAATCTAAAGCAATTTACCTAACCCAAAAGTCAAATTGCTCCTTTGAAGCAAGATAGGTAGAGTTCAGTTTTAAACAGTGGTCTGAGACTACAAAAAAAAAAAGATTAAAACATAATTACTTTTAAAAAACCCACAACCAGACATTAATTCTATTGGATAGACTTAAATTGAGACACGGAAAGAAAATGTCTGACAGTTGTGTTGCAGCTGTCAGCCTTGAGAGCGCTAGTTAGTATTTTTTTTTTTTCAAAATGGTGAGACGAACAACAGAATAGGCGTTCATTAGCACCGAAGGAAACATGGTATTTCTCAATTTGTATCTAACCCCCAACTACAGAACACTTAGTTGTCAACTCCACCACTGATTCTAATACCTGAAACATCCAAATACTGAGAGCAGCATCAATGCTGCAGTCAGATATGCTCTGGGTGACCCTACTACTTCTTTCAAAACGCAATGGGACTCTATCTACCAAACCAGTGTGACAGTGTGACTACCAAGGTAGCTCAGTTAAAACGTTTCAGTTATTGTTTTATGCTTTTAATCAATATTATTCAATATAAGTAAAAAAGTTGGACCAAGTTAAATAGAAAGTATGGTTCCATAGGTGCTACTCATGGGATCAGAAATGTTTGGGTTTTTTATGATTCATTTTTCACAGCATCGAAGTTGTCCTTATTGGTAGGGCAAAAGGCTAGGACAGCTGGCCACAGTCAGTAATGACAATCTTTTTGGAGGTCTTTCCACTCTTGGAACCAAAGCTCTCAATTTTTTTCACGACATCCATTCCTTCCTTTACATGCCCAAAAACAACGTGTTTTCCATCTAGCCTGTAAAACAAATAAACAAAAGCAGTTTTACTTAAAGCAACACAAAGACTGAACCAAACCGAGCTCAGAGAAGGGATGTTAGCAGATCTTCATAGCTCTCACCTGTTGATCAACTCTATGGCAAAGGCACAACTGCTCTACAAGTGACATGAAATACTTTTAGCTCTGGACCTTAGAAGCATTATGAGGGATAGCGGCCTTGTTACCCACAGAGCCCTTCCTCTCTCAAATAGCACAAAACAATTTATTTTCCATTGTGAGTCAAGTAATTTGGAAATTAAAAAGAAAAATAAAACCCCCAAACCAACCAAACAAAAACCCATCAACCCACAAACAAAAAAAAACCCTAAGAAAACCCCAAACCCTCCAGATCCAGGCATCAATTCATCAGGTTAATATGCAGCGCTGAGAACCTACCAGTCAGTTTTTGCAGTGCAGATGAAGAACTGAGATCCATTTGTATTGGGTCCTGCATTGGCCATTGAAAGAACACCTGGAAGAGCAGCAGCAGCTTATTAGATTGGTGAAACAAGTATATGCAGTGGAGAATACAATTTTCCTCTGCACATTTAAACTAAAGATGGACAGACAGAAGATGTGATGGTCTCACATTGTCTCCAAATGATTTCTAATGCCAGCTTCTTGTCTTTGACTATTCCCTCGAGCCCAGCCTCCCTTCTTTCCACAGCAAGTTAGTTATTATGTTAGTAATATAATTAGTTGTACACGTCCTGAATATGATTAACATCAGGTAATCCCTACTGTAGTAGCAGTAGTTTCCTGTGATGAGGAAATAACAATACAAAAAAGAAAGACTATCGAATTCAATCAGATGTTCTTATGTATGGCTTTTCCTTTATTTTCTCGATTTAATTTGAGCTTAACAGGACATGCCTGTGTTGCCTAGTAAATAAGAAATCCCAAAGCAAAGATTGCTTTGTTTCACTTCTACAGTCATCATCTAAGTAAAAATTCAAGTCTATGACTTACAAAAGAGGAAAATAAAAGCAGTAATTTCACCTTTGTAGAATTTGTAAGTAAAATACAAAACCCCCCTACTTTATTTTGCACAGTCCCTTTTATAGTAAGAGCAAGAGTGGCAATGTCACCTGTTACAGGCTGACTTATATTTGTACAGCAGTCTACAAGAACAAGCACATGCCAAGGACAATGCATTGTTAAACTTCCTTGATATTTCTGTAACTACCAAGTGCCCCACACATCTAAAAAACCTTATTTTTTTAAAATACATCTTCATAAACAATGCTTCACTATAGGTTATAGTCATCAGAAAATAGAAAGAATGTATTTATTTACCAGGTCCTACATGCTTAAGTATGAAATTTTCATCTGGAAATCTACTGCCATAAATGGATTTTCCACCAGTTCCATTATGATTTGTAAAGTCACCACCCTGAAATAGAAATGGTTATTAACTTTACTTAGCACACAAGCATTATTTTACATCAGAAGCGATGCTATTGAAAATATACTCACTTGCTCTAATTTAAAAGGAATAAAATCAGCAAATTTTCTTCAGGTTAAGAATGAGTATGATCACATGAGGATTTAAAACCATATAACTAGATGAGGATACAATCAAGCTGAAAGTAAATTTCTGCTCCAGATATTGCTGATATTTTCCAACTGACATCCATAACTCCAACAGCCACCTTTCCGTGTTACCAGCCTTGCTCCCAAATGTGATGCAACAAATAGCAGTAATTTTAAGAAACACCTCAAAGGTCTCAAAACAAAATCACCCCAATTCATTACCATAGGCAAGACCTGAAATTTTTTTTTCCCCTTTCTTGCTTTCTCCCAACAACTATAAATACTGGTCAGGATCTCCATTTTTACTATTTGCTATTTCTAGGTTTTGTTGTTTAAGTGTTACACCTGAGCTATTTTAAACTTCCCTCAGCTACATGCTGTTTGCTGGGATAGATGTGACCACCTGTCTTAGGCCGGACACACAAAACCCAACAAACAAAAAAAAACCACCAGCCACAGCAACTCCCAAAGGTGGCTACTAAACACTGCTTCCAGCAATCTGCCACCTCCTCTCCCAGACCCGACACCACCCATGCCGGCAAAGAACTCGTACCTAACAAGTATTTCATGTGATGTTAATCTTTCCATTCTCACCTTGAGCAATCTATTACAGGTGGTGTTATAGCTACTCCTACACAGTCCCAAAAGTATGCTCTGCATGCTGCATGCCATGTGGAGGCATCTGAATTGCCAAGTCCTGGGTACGGTGACCTCCAATTAGGCTATACCAATTGCCTGAATCATATTAACACTCCCTCTCAACAAGTGGAAAGGCCTCTACTGTTTCCTCTCACTTTAAAGTATTTGAAACCTATGACAATATTTCCACTTTAGTAATGACTACCAAGGAATTCCTAAGCATCAGTTCATCATCTCACAGTATCGTGGAGTCAACCACCTAGTATCCTCATTTCAGGTCCATTTGTGGGGACAGAACGGGGAGGCAAGAAGAACAGACTTACACAGAACTTCACAAATTAGTCATAGAACTGAGAGTAGGATTTCTATTTTTCTTGTATTTATGTCCTTCTGACCCCAGCAAGACTTCTAAACTTTGTCCCTTTGTCAATACCACAAAACCTTAGTTTGCATTTCAAAGGCAAGAAAATAGGTCCTTTACAGCACATTTGTCTCCTTTCTCTTCTTAGAAATAGGTCATAAAGATTAGGGCCTCTTGTTCTGACAGATGTATTTTTAGCTTAAAAAAAAAAAGTGAGGAGTGGGGACCATCACAGTCATCAGTTAATAAATAAAGCACGCTTACTATAACCTTCATCTCAAATTTGTACAGAGCCATTCTATGATGCAATGCTGTTGAAATGTAGCTTCTTTTAAGAGAAGAGAAGACCATCAGCAATCATACAATCCAGTGCACTACAGCAGCTGAAATCCTGCTCATCCGCCAAGCACAGTAGAAAAAAGGCTTTCAAAAAGGCTTTTTCCATGTTTTTGTTGTTGTTGTTGTTGCTATTTAAGGAAAAAATGTTGATGTGCACGGACTTTAATTCAGAATTTTGAAAAATTAATCCTTTAAATCAAAACAAAATCTATTTCAGGTGTATCATCCCAAAAATCTACCTCAAACAACCGTTTTGGTTCCCTTCTCCCCTTCATATTAGGGAGATGTTCAGAAAAAAAAAAAATTTTTTTTTTAAAAAACCACATTCTCTATTGTGAACAGGTTATTCTACTAGGAATAAAGAATGGACTAGTTGTTTTCTTAGCTCACTCAGAACACAAGGTTGATTGTCATTCTACCCACAAATGCTTCTCCCAAGCAAGTGCCTTTTTGCCAAAGATGCGCCACACTAAAGTACACTGCTATACAAAAGCAGAAAGCCTTAAGCCAGTTTTTTTTAAGACAGTGCACACATAATTTACATTTATTTGTACAAAAGATGTGCTAAGCAACAGCCATTGCAAAAAGATCAGAAATGCAAGTCACACTATCACTTCTTTATTTTGTAGTTAGCAAAGGTTAGAACAGAGCCACTTAAAATGTTACTACTAGTCTAACTGGTTCTAAAAATACATAAATAACACACAGATAAATTTAGTAGCAAAAGTGAAAAAAAAAAAAACACTACCTGGCACATAAATGAAGGAATCACTCTGTGAAAAGTGGATCCTTTATACCCAAATCCTTTTTCACCAGTACAAAGAGCTCTAAAGTTTTCTGTGAAAACAAAGCATAAAGTATTATGTTGCCATACACAATACATAATATAGTCAAACACAACTAGATTAACTATGTCCCAAGTTTATACACTTCAAAAATTTTATAGTACCTTTAAGGTATTATTGATTTATTAGTTGTTTCCATGCTTTAAAAAAACCTCTGTTATAAAGCTAAGGAAACAAAGCTTGTTTAGCCTCAGAACAGGGTACAAACACAACCCTTTTGCATCTCATCTCCCTTTCATTTTGCTGTTATATCTTAACTCCAACCCCCCCGCTTCCCCAAACCCACCACTCTGGAGTCAAAGATTGCATTTTCTGACTTTTATGCCTTTGTTCTCTATAGTGAAGATGATACTTTTTTTTTTTAAAGAATATTAATCTACTGGGAACTGAAACAAAAGTACAAGTTTTTCAGAACCACTAACTAAACAGATGAGGAAGGAAGCGCATGATAAAACACAAAAACTTTGTAACGTGTGCACTGATGCCTTGTCACTAGCTAGTGACAAGGAAAACAAAACCCTATATGCTCTTTGGAAACTTTAAGAGACACCATCCCTTTGGTTAACCCTTTCCCATTTGCTTTGGGGTTTGATTTTAATGCAAACTAATGTGTTTTTAAACATATTTATTCACCACTGATAACCAAACATAGGGATTGTACTGTCTTGGCACAAATTACAAAATGAAACTATTTGGAACAACAACAAATCGTAACTCCTCACTAGCACTGTTCTAACAAAGTTCGTATCATATTTCTCTATTTAACAAATGGGGACAGAATATGGAAATAGTTTCCAAAAGATAGCAGAATATTCTTGTTCCTGAAAATCACAATCTAAACGTTAAATATTTAAGTATGAAATTCTGGAGATGCTGCCTTACCTGCTGTCTTTGGAACCACATCAGCTTTCAGCTGTTAAAGAAAACCAAACAAATTAGTAAGTCAGCTTTTTCATACATACATAGAAAAACTACACGGGAGGCTGGTACAACTGAATCCTCTTCGCAAGGTGACGCGCTATCTGAAACCACAAGCCACCCAAAATTCCAAGAACACCTTAAGACTGTCCAGGCATTTGGCTAGTAACTAAAAATATCCCCTCAATACAACTTTTGGCCAGTTAATGAAGAGCAAATTGAGCAGTATCTAATGATTTCATTGATGAATACAATAATTTAGCAATAACTACGGAGAATCTTTATGATGGTCCCCAAGGATCAAAGCCAGTTTGGATACAACTGGAGAGATCAAAGTCTCCCCAGCACAGGGCCATCTGTTGAAATCTGCAGAAAAGGGAAAGGAAAAAGAAGAGCAGAAACTGTATATCAAAATTGACTCATGATGTTACATACACATTTATTACCAACAAAAATTTCTGATTTTTATTAGTATGCATCTTTTTACTCATCCTAAAAATGTATGGTATTATAATTGCCTGGAAAAAGTGACATAAAAATGGCCATATCAGGTTAGACCAAAGTTTTATCTAGTCACACATTCAGACACTGGCCAGCAGCAGACATCTAGAAATAGCATGGCTGTAGCAAGTTAATATTCCTTCCCTAGGATGCTCTCCTCAGATGCCTATAATTTGCAGCTGAATCTAACCACAACTTAGCCAAAGATTCAAGGCGAAGCTGCAATACATTCAGATACTCTGTAAACTGGGCACACTAAAAATCGTTAACATGGAAATGAAATGCTGCCATAAGAAATATAGTAACATTAATACTATTTTTTATAATACCATCTAGCTATTTACTAAATCTCACTGATGAATAAGGAACTTGCACAGCAATGTTTTTACCTATGACTCCCTCAAACGCTACCTCCTGAGAATGTGAGAGCTAGTAGCATCCGATTAATTTATATGCTGATACTTTCAATGAAGAAAAATGAATTGGGCTCTAGCCTCAAGGGAAACCCTTTTAGAAAGAACCCTTATGAACTACATTTAAAAAAAAAAAAATCTGTCAATACAGAACCAATGCGGGTGCTGGAGGCAGAAGGCCACACTGAATTCCCTCAGTAGGCAGCAATTCAGAAGAGCAGCATTCCCTTTCCAGCACCTGGTTCTGGAGCACAACCCTCATTCCTTCCCGTACACAACACATTTATTCAGAGGCACGTGCCCTGCCCTAAGGATACGTGGTATACCACAATTAAAGTCTTGGCGCTTATCGTGCTTTTCGTAAGAGCAGAGTGTACCGCAGTTTTCCTGTTCAGGCCTTCTTTAAATGGCTAAGTATTTCAGAAACTGAATTTTTAATGATAAAGCTGGTTGCTAGCTGGCTATTGAGCTACCTGCCAGTTCAAACAGAGCTGTGCAAACCCTTCAATGCACATGAAGCAGGAACCTCAAAGAGGCAGCACCTCAAAAAACTAAACACTAAGAATCAAACAATAAGCACACAGAAAAAAAAGAGAAAAAACAGGATGAAGCTGGAAGAATGGCTGAAGGCCTCCACAGGCGTGCTGCCCCGGGAGTACGCCGACCCCTGGGCGGCCAGGCGAGGGTCCAGCCGCTCACCGAC